GTTGGGGTGACAGAGCAGTGGCACAGGCTGCCCAGGGAGGGGGGGGAGTCCCTTCTCTGGAGGTTTTCTAAACCCGCCTGGATGCAGTCCTGAGTGATGTGCTCTGGGCAATCCTGCTTTAGCAGGGGAGTGGGACTGGGTGATCTCTAGAGGTCCCTTCCAGCTCTGAAAATTCTGTGATTCTGTGATTCTGTTATTTGTAGGTGACATGTGTGTACGTGCACACATGGTCTCTCCTCCTGCGGTGTGTTAGATAGTATGTGCTGTCATTCCTCATCCCGGAGATGTTCTCCCTTCTTCCTTTTGGGTTTTTTTTTTTTGTGTTTTTCTCTTGAAATGCATTTTCTTTTTATGTCCTTTCTGGAGTAGCGTGCCTGCTGTTTCTTCTCATTTTGACTTCTTGACCTGCTCGTTGGTGCTTTTTCCTCGGCAAATCTACCCTCATCCTCTTCTTTCTTCGTTGTTTCTGAAAGGGAAGATAACTTCACGAGCACGGTAGGATTCACTTTTGCCTTTCTTCTGGCAAAGCTATTTCGGTCACTGCTAGACGCTGCCACTTGCGTGTTTCTCCCCGGGGGATTTTACATTCTTGACACGTTGCTCCGGTGCCAGCCTGCTTAACTGTCGGAACACAAAGCGATCTCTACGTGCCGTCTAATACAACATGAGCTGAGTCAGAACCTTTTAGAGACTATATATATTGGTACTGAGGTTTCTCCAGGTTGTATTGGGGATAGATGTATTCATCTCATTGCCCTCTTCCTCCGAGACCCTGAATCCTTTGCAATCCAACAGCTGAGAGGAACTGAGGAACTCTACCGTACGTGTAATTTATGTATTTTCTGACAAGCACAACGGGTGTGGAAACAGGCGCAATTTGAAGGTACAGCAAAGAAATAGAGTAAAAGTGGGCGTACAACCAAGACCTACTGAAGAAATCTATGTTTTTGTCTTCTGCAAGATGAACACGAAATCTTAGATTGGCACATTCACAGCTCGG